GTTTCCTTAACACCTCCCTCTCCTCTTTCCCCTCCAACTCTCTCCATCCTTGACTTCCAGAGCCAGCTCTTGTCTCTCTACCCCTTATAGGTGTAGACATCCTTCAAGGCTCTCCTTTGCACCCCGACCCATCGTCATTTTCCACTCTGCTCTGTCCTTGGGGACTCATCCAATTCCATTGCTCACACCAGTATTTTTCTAACTAAGGGTTTCAATGGATTGTTAAATTTAGTCTGTTGCTCTCAGATTTTTTTGATAAAAACTCTTTTTTACTGTGGCAAAATACACAATAACAAAATTTATCATTTTAGCCACTTTTAAGTCTATAGTTGAGTGGCATTAAGTTCAGTCACATCGCTGTGCTACCATCACCACCATCCATTTCCAATACTTTCTCATCTTTCCAAACTGAAACTCCGAACCCATTAAATGATGACTCCCCATCCCACACCCAGCCCCCAGGAACCACCTTCCACTTTCTGTCTTTATGAATTTGACCACCCTAAGTCCCTCATATAACTAGAATCATAGTGTATTTGTCCTTTTGTGCCTGGCTTATTTCACTTAACCCAAGATCTTCAAGGTTCATCCATGTTGTAGCACATTTCAGAACTTCCTTTCTTTTTGAGGACAATATTCCATTATATTTTTTAATGAAGTAGGATGGATTTTTTTAACGAAGTAAAATAGAAAACATTAGAGGGCATTTCTCATAATAAGGCCAAGTATTGTTTCACAAAATGTTTCAGTTGAGTGTGTACATAACTGTGTTCAAGATCCTGGGCATAACATATGCCTTACTGTACCTCCCAATCATGAAAGTTTGGAAAACACTGATGTCAGTGGTTGGTGAATCTAGATCTACACTGCTAGCCTGGCTTTTCGCAGCACCGTTCTGGGTAGCTCCACGAACACACGAGGATCCAGACCCACAGCTGTCACCCTACCTACACCTTCCCTCCCCCAGACACGCCCTTCTCATAGGGTCCCCACTTTCTGCCTGCCTGCCCCATCTGCCCCCAGTGATACAGCTCTAACCTCTGGGTCATGCGGATTCACTCAGCTCTTGCCTGTACTTGTCAACCCTTGCTCAAACTCGATTTCATCCCCCTTCCTTCCACCTTTGCCTATGCCTGTGGATCACTCCCCTTTTTTGAAGACCCCTTCAAATCCCTCTATGTACCTTGAAGCACAGTGATTTGCCCTGGCTCCCACCTCCTTGTTTTTAGAGTCCCTCATCCATTCCTCTGGGCATGGTTCATGTATGAGTTATGTGCCTTTCTGTCTTCCCAATAGCCACAGGCTCCCTGGAGACCCTGGACTGTGCCTGCCTTGTGCACCATTGTATCCTCAGCACTTAGAGTAAATCTTCATGAAGCATTTGTTCAATCAATCAAAAACAGACATGGAGAAGCCAAGAGCATCAAAGGGAATGTTCACAACTTTGTTTCTTGTCTTTTTCTCCTCATTCACGTAGTGTATGCTTTCTCTATTGAGACACTGAGTCCACTAAACCATGGCACTGCCCCACCTTCTCCCCTCCTGACCAAGGAAAGTGGTGTAAATGGACCCCCCCCCAGACTTCTGACTGATCTCAGTGGGGCCCTCCCAAAAGCTCCCATTGCCCATTGCAGAGCACAGGGAAAGCCCAGGGTCCGAAGAAGTAAGCACACATAGACTCACAGCCCCACTTCCATTTACTGGGGGCTGTCGCTAAACTCACTGGAGGAACCTGCCATTGCTGTATCCCTGAGCTCTTCATGAGGTGGCATCACACCAGCTCAGCATGGAAGCAAAGAACAGCAGCCTTCAGGAATCCCCTGGCTCCAAAGTAGACCTGCTCCCTGCACCAAGTTCTTCTCATTTTGACCGGGCTGTGACAGTACCTCCCAGCCTCTCTCCCTCTTTAACTCTTCCTGTCGAAAGCCCAGCTAACGTCCTTCCTAGGGGCTTTTATCCTGCCACTACCCTACTCAAGGACCAGGCATGGCTCCCAGTGGCCCAATGAACCAAATGCAAATTGTTCCTCTCAATCTTCAAAGCACTTTGCTGAGCCTAGCGACCCACTGTTGCATCTGCCTCCTTCATCCCCTCCTCCCACCTCACACCAGCTGTATCCATTTCTTCATTGTGTCTCTTCCAGTTACAATCCCTGCATACACACACATAGTCTTACTTTCAATTACTTATGCATTATCCAATATCTATTGAGAACTTTTTATGTGCTGGACACCGTATTTGGTGTTCACAGTGCAGCCAGGAACAAAACAGGACAAATCCCCATCTCATGGAGTTTCCAGTCTAGAGCAAAGTTTCTCAACCTTAGCACTATGACATTTGGTGCTGGGAAATTCTTTGTGTGGGGAGCAAACTACGCAGTGTAGGATCTTTACAACATCTTTTGCCTCTTCCCACTGCATGCAGCAGCACTTTCCTCTCCCCAGTGTGAACACCACAGAAGTCTCCAAACATTGCTGTGGGGAATAGGGGATTGAGAACCACTGGTCTAGAGCAGCAGGAGGAGCTTGTTGCAACTTGCAGACCACCTAGGCAGCTTGTTACAAAGGCGGGTTAGTAGATCCCACCCCTAGACAGCCTGATTCAGGGCTGAGGAGTCTGCATTTCAATGGCCCTCCAGTTGGTTCCAATTCAGGCCCTCCCAGAACCTCTGCGTGAAGAACACTGGTCAAGTGTTTCTAGACAGGAGACAGACTGATGATAATCACACCAGGTCAGTTCATTACAATCATGATATATGGAGGAAACAAGATGGGTAAGCAGGTGCTAGGGGTGGCACTGATGTGGCAGCCACACCCAGTTCAAGATCAGGACTGGCCAACGATGAAGCCAAGTGCTACAGCATAGGGAGGGTCAGGTGTGGGAGAGATGGAAGGAAGTTGTGCCACCTTTGCTCCTGCCCCCTTTTTGGATGTGCACACCCCCCACCCCCACCCTTAAGTCTTATCCTTCCTTCAAGGCCCACTAAAGTTCAACTTCCTCTGGGCCCAGTCTTCCCTAACTCCTCCAGCCCACCAGTGCCTGTCTTCTCAGGCAGTTTAACATTCACTTTCTATTTCATTTATGGCTTTTTTTTTTTTTTTTTGTCGCAAATAGACTTTGAGTCCTCCGAGCACCAAGACCACATCATCTCCTTCTTTACAGACCCTTATTTACAGGTACCCTTCCAGGATCCCGCCTATACAAGTTTTGCTTGCTTGATTGGCTAACTTGATTGAGTCCCTGGAGTGAGGCCTGCAAGATAGCATCTATGTGATTTAGGGGGTCAGGGTTTCTGTGAGGGAGGAAGGGAAGCACCTTCTATGCCTGCTGCACTCCAGGCATCTAGCCCACCCACCCAAGACCAGGGAGGGCTTCCCAGAGCAGGCAGGTAGTAGTTCGGGTGGCGCTTGCCATGGCCTCTTATGCTCTCCCTCTGTTGACAAGGTAGAAAGAATCCCAGCAGCCCCAGCAACTTTGGGGAGGTGCCAGCAGGGGGCAGAAACCCAGAGCTGCCCTGCTGAAGAGCGAGTGCCAAGATGACAGCAGGCAACTGGCCTGCAGGGCTGCAGCAAGCCGTGGGGGACCCAGCTGTCATTGCACAGGATCATCTCAGGGGCACCAGTAACCAAAAGAGGCAGGCCCAATCAGATCCAAGAAGCCAGGAGGCTCTGAAGATGGCCTTTAAAGCCACCAGCACCAGACAGCTCTCAGGAGCTGCCACCAACCAGGGAACACTCCCCGGGAAGGTCCTGAGAACAAAGTGCCTCATTACTCCCCAGCTCTGGGGGAGTTACAAGGAGGGGAAATAGCCTAAGTGCTCGGGTTTCCACTGGGTTTCCACTGCAGAGCGGCACCTAGCAGCGATCTTCACCCTCCCACCCTCATGGGCAGCCCAGATTGGGAGCACCCATGCCTGATGTAGAACCCAAGAGATGAGAAGAGGGCTATTTCGTTATGGGGAACTTTAGAGAAGAAGGTGCGATGCTTACTTAGCTAGAGAGACCTTTCTTTTCCTATCACCCTGGGGGAGGGTCGGTGAGATAGCAGCAAAGAAAAAAACACCCCAGCAGCTAGGAGAGAGGGCTCTTTCCAGGAGAAGCTCCGATATGGGCGTAGACTAGAGCAGGAGTCCTCCTAATCCCCCAAACCAGGCAGAGAAACCCCAAGTGTTCCCCGGAGCCAGCAAAGCCGGCAGAAGGAAGTGGCTGGCATTTCAGTGTATCTTCTGCAAACAAGAGAGACTGAGGCTGTGCCTGAACTGAATTTCTGAGTGACACCTCCTGCTGCTCTTTCTCTTGGTGGAGTTTGGCCATGGGTGGGGGTGGAGTGGGGGAGATCCCAACGAGGGGGTTAACTTCTGCTGCAGCTATGACCTTTTGCGCTAAGGATGAGAAGAAAAAAAAGCCATCTGTTTCAGAAGGAATCAGGTTGTGAGTTTCACAGATCCAGTGGCTGTGGGATTATAAGACTACACTATCCTTGTCACATCGCCACCGCCCACTACCACCCCCCACCACACCCAACCCGAAGCTCCTGTAAGGGAAAATGTTTTTTCTCCCAAGGGTCCCTACAAAAGTTCAGGACTCTCGAGATTAAAAAATAAATAAAAATTAAAAATCTATACGATTTTGAGCCCTCCTACCCCAGCGTCCAAACAAATGGCCATAGAACTGTGGGTTTGGAAGACACCGATCTGATCCATGCGGTCTCTCCGAGTGGATTTATTCTCAGCTTGGTTGCTTGGAATTCTAACCTGTCCTTCATTTTTCACAGTGGAACAAAGTTGTCTGGGCCTTCCAGCCGGCGCTGGGCAGGCAGCTGGAAGCAAGGATGCTCTTGGAAACGCGGAGACCCACCCCTAAGCGGCCGTTCTTTGGACGAGGAGCGTATCCCACGGTCACTCACCCCTGGAAGCTGCGGCCGAAGCTGCGGCTGCCACTGCCACCCGGGGGGCTCGCCCGCCGGTTCTGCGCATCCCACCCTCTCACGGACTTTCTTACCTCTTAATGTAGTTCCTGCCATACAGGATCTGTTGCAGCAAGGTCACCAAGGCGAAGGCGCAGATGAAGATGAAGAGCAAAGTTCGATTCCCCAACAAATCCCGGTTGGCCGAGGGGTCCGCGTAGCGCATCCTGGCGACCGGGCGCCGCGGGCGCGGGGTACGGGGCCGCCAGGCAATGACTGGCGGGGTTCCGGGGCCCCGGAGGGCGCGCGGCCGACTTGGCGCCTCACGGTGCGGTCAGGCAAGCGGGGGACTTCGCGGGTCAAAGTTTCCAGCTGGCGCGGCCGGAGCTGGGGACATCCAAGCGTCGCAGGCGCTGGGGCCGCACGCAGGACAGGGCCGGTCACAGAGAGCTCGGCCGGGGCCCGGGGCCTTCCCCCGGGTTCCTTTACCTCCGGTCGCCGGTGCAGGGCAGCCGCCGATTTCCCCGCGGAGGGCCGACGCCAGGTGCCACGAGCCGGAGGCGGCCCCTCCCGCCGAGGTGGCGGCCAATGGGGAGCGGGGCCGGGGCTCAGTCCCCAGTGCGCCCCAGCGCGCCCCAGCGCGCCGCGCACCGCCCCTTCCAGTCCGACTCCGGATAGCGGGCGCTCAGTGCACTGTACCTGCGCGGGGCGGGCCGCGTCTGATCCCTGGGCCTGCAGCGAGGGATCGCGAAGGTTGGCCTTCGGTTCTGCTGATGGGGACGGGGGAGGGGGTACAAAACACCCGTGCAGTCTGGCTAATGATAGGCGGATCGTGGGGAGGGGGAGGGGTGGAGCGGAAAACACCGGGTTTGAATATTGGAATTAAAAAGAGGGCTGGGGCCGGGCGCGGTGGCTCACGCCGGTAATCCCAGAACTCTGGGAGGCCGAGGCGGGCGGAGCACAAGGTCAGGAGTTCGAGACCAACATGGCCAATATGGTGAAAGGCAGTCTCTACTAAAAATACCAAATTTAAAAAAAAAAAAATTGGCCGGTAATCCCAGCTACTCCGGAGGCTGAAGCAGGAGAATCGCTTGAACCTGGGAGGCGGAGGTTACTGTGAGCCGAGATCGCGACACTACACTCCAGCCTGGGTGACAATGCGACTCCGTCTCAATAAATAAATAAACAAACAATAAAAAATAAAAGAGGGCAGGAAGAGGAAGCCGAGGCTGCAGAGCTGGACTTGATGGAAGGGAGCATTTGCGTGCGGCGCGCAGGGCACTGAGTCACCGCCGTGGCCGCGTCCTCGCGCTCTCCTAGCGATTTCTCCGGAGAAAGCAGAGCAAGGTCAGCTGGGCAGCCCTTCAAGGACGGCGCGCGCGGCTCCTGCATGCTGATGGTCTGCGGGGCTGCCTGCCCGCGCCCTGGTGCCCAACTCCTGTAGGGAAGAAATTCAGGGGCTGCCCGACCCCACGACAGGCCTCTTCCCCACCCAGCCGCAACCCGGCGGCCGTTAGTCAAAGACCTTGTTGTTACCGAGACACTGGGACCTTGTCTCATCCTCGGAACCACTCGTAAATCTTAGGTCGGGCAGCTGGCAGCCTTCGGGGACCACAGTCCCCCGATTAGGAAGTCAGTTACTACATCCGGAAAGATTCGTGCTTCAGAATGCATGCCAGGGAGAATAATCACTGAAACGCAATGCGAATGTCGTGCCTCTTCAGAAATTCTTAGCCTCAAATACCGTCCCCACCTCCCATCCCGGCCAGGCGACGGTCCTGGCATCTTGACACCGCAGAGCCTCCAAGCGCTGGGAGTCGCGTGCTCGCGGCGCTCGCGACGCTCGCCACTGAGGCCAGCAAAAAGATTCTAGGGTGCCCCTTCCCGGGCTCCAGCAGACACCCCGGGAGTTTCTACAGTCAGGCCAGGGATTCACCTGGGAACCTGACCGAAACTCAAACCTCAGCAAAAGAACTTTGATGGGGGAAGTGCCCAGACTCAAACACCCTCGACCTTGGCATTTAGTAGTTCCTTCTTTGAACTGGAAAGATCAAGGAATGCACAGTAAAATCTCATGATAAGGCTTCCACCAAGAATTAGGGATTTGTGTTAATTCATAAGGCAGAAGTGGCCCCTGTGCTATCCATAAAGAGTTTCTGTATTTCTCTGAGAGGTCACAGGTAGGCTTTTTTTTTAGACAGGGTCTTGGCTCTGTTGCCCAGGCTGGAGTGCAGTGGCGCCATCTCAGCTCACTGCAACCTCCACCTCCCGGGTTCAAGCAATTCTCCTGCCTCAGCCTCCCAAGTAGCTGGGATGCTACTTAGCATGCTCCATCGTAGGCATGCGTCACCACACCCGGCTAATTTTTGTATTTTTAGTAGAGACGGGTTTTGCCTGTTGGCCAGGCTGGTCTTGAACTCCTGACCTCAAGTGATTTGCTCACATCCGCCTCTCAAAGAGGTGGGATTATACACGTGAGCCATCTCACCCAGCCATAGGTAGGCTTTTTAACCAATTAAAGAAAAACTTGAACATTTAGAGGGCCCATTATTGTAATAATTCCTGTATTTGTTTGCTGTCTTGCACATCAAAATGTGCTTCAGTTGCATATATTAATGCATTTTTACCTCCTAGGCCCTGGCTAACCCATTTCACAGCTGAAAGGACTAAAGCAATAGTTACCCAAAGTAACTCACCTAGCAACAAGTCTTGGGATTCTGAGATGAGGCTCTTTCTCCCCCACACACAGGTAGGCTGGCTTCTTGGGAGTGGGACTTGTTCATTTGTCCCTAGCACCTCCATTGATTTTGACTTAATGCTCCGCTCTTGCTGTCTTCAAATTTTTGAACAAGGGGGTTTGCATTTCACTTTGTACTGGGCCAAATTATGTGGCAGGTCCTACATACAGGCTCCAAGTTGACAGTACTAATTTTTCACTAATTTTTCTCTACTTGGTGCTCAAATGTAGAGTTGGAGGGGTGCTATCATCTTCACTCCAGGCAAGGCACTGTCGTTTCCTTTGTATTCCTGCTTATTCTCCACCCCATCAGGTCCTCACTCTGATACCTGTCTTTGGGTGCATGCTTTCTTGGAAAAACAAAACAAATCTATTTTCAAGTAATGAATCCACATTATCCTAAGAACTTTCAAATTGCAGTACACTACATTTACAGAAAAGTACACAAATCATAAATGTTCAGCTCGCTGGGTTTTCCCAAGCTGAACACACCCATATAACCAGCACACAGATCAAGAAACAAAAAACATCAGCCCCCAGGAATCCCCTAAAGTTCCTTTCTGGTTACTACATACTCATGAGTAACAACTGTTCTAACTCTAAAGACCAGTGCTTCCTGTTCTTGTGTTTTATATAAACGCAATTATACATTATATATTAAGGCATGTCTGCCTTATTTTGCTTAGCATTGCTATGAGATTTATCCATGCTGTTGCATGTGGTGGGCAGAATTACAAGATGTCCCCCAAGATTCCTCACTCCCTCTTGTATGCATATTCCCCCAGGTATTCGACTAAACATTGATCTAGTTGCTGCTGTGAAGGGAATTTGCAGATGTAATTGGACCTAAATCAGTTGGCTTTAATATCAGGAAATTGTCCTCAATGGGCATGGCCCTATGGAGCCCTTACAAGGGACTGGGCTATTCCTGGTGAAAGAGATTTGAATCACGAGAGGGACTGATACGAGGGAAATTCTTTGCTGTTGCCTTCGAAGACAGAAGGAGGCCACAAGGCAAACGATGCAGACAGCCCCTAGGAGCTGAGACTGGCTCCTGGCTGACAGCCAGCGAGGAAATGGGGACCTCAGCCCTCTAATCACAAAGCAGACTCTGACTTCTGCCAACAAACTGAATAAACTTCAAGGAGGATTCTGAGCTCCAGCCGCCTATACCTTGATTTCAGCTGTTGGGACCCTCAGCAGAGAACCCAGCTACGCCGTGCCCAGATTTAAGACCTACACGACTGTGAGCTTGTAAGTGTGCATTGCTTTAAGCCTTTAAGTTTGTGGTAATATGTTTCACTGCAAATATAAAACTAATGCCTTTGTGTGCAGTTATAGTTTGTTCAATCTTATTGCTGTATAGTATGCCATCAAATGACTGAGGCACAACTTACCCATTCTACAGCTGATGGACACCCTCTGGGTAGTTGCTGCCATCAACCTTCTGGTGCATGTTTTTGGGTGAATACATGCATGCATATCTGCTGGGTATCTATTTCTAGAAGTAAAATTGCTAGGTCAGAGAGTGTGCATATGTTCAGCTTTAGCGATTACTGCCAAACAGTTTTCCAAAGGGTAAATAATTTTTAATAGGTATTTTATTCAGATTCACCATGACCTCATAAGGAATTGGTCCCACACTAAAACTAACCGGCTAATCTAAGAGCAAAAAGCCCACCCAGCCAAGAGCCAAGAAAGTTGAGGAACAACAACAGCTCCCAAGGTATCCACTCTCCCTGGAGGAAGTACTCGACAGCCAGGTCTCCTGCATGAATTAGCAGTGGGTAAGATTGATGCTGGCATTAGGAACAGCTAGAACTTTGCAGCAAGACTATGTAGAATAGATTTTGGTGACTTGATCTTCTGCACATGATCAGCAATAGTCCAGTGGTCTCTGCTGACACTGCTCTCCTAATCCTAATGGCATTTTACATTTGACTACCTTCATATCAGAGGTATATTTAACAGACACACAAACACCTCACAAGCACCTGTAGTGGAGTCAGAGACCTAAGATCTCGAAACATGGAGGTCTGAAGTCCCTGTTGTTCCTATCAGTATGGAGCTAGGTTCCATTTTAAGCCAAATTTGTATTCTGATTGTAGAGTTGCAGCAAACACTCAAAAGACCTCGCAAACAAAAGAGTAAACACATGGATAACTGATCACTATGCCATATTCAGTGAATACCATTTTTACATTCTAATTGCCAGGAATGGGGACAGCTGCATCATTGTTTAAAACACATACTCATGCACAATTAAGCCAGAACAAATGTCAACACTGGCACCATCTGCTAAATTACTGATAACTGATGGGCATTACTCATGCTGTGAGCATTGTCTCCAATATAAAATGGAAAGACTTTTTCAAAAACGTACAGGTTTCGACTGGTTTTAAAAAGCCAGTTTTTTACACCATACAGCACAACTGCAACCTGTCAGATTATGTAAGTGACATTTCACCCATGTGCTGGAGGAGTCTGCAATAAGTACATGCTGTTTTTGTGCCTCTTTACATTTACGTTAACAAGTCAGGCCTTCGAGGGTCTGATTTGCGGCTTTGGGACACTTTGTCTGTGGTGAGGGCACCTTGCTGCCAGGTGAGCAGAAATGCCCCAGTTATAACCTTGTCATCAGAGAGCCAGGGCTTGCCATTGAGTGGTCAACTGCAGACACAAGACTATCTCATCGGTCTTGTTTTTAATAAATCCTGTAACAGAACAAGGATGTAAACCCCTTGTTCAGTTCCCTTATGAGTACAAATTATATCCAATGTAGTTTATGATAAATCATTAATAATCTCAAACCTGGATATGAAGCCCCCTTTCAGCCTTCATATCTCCAGGCTGAGAAGGATCCTCCTTCAGTCATAGTATCACTCCCAGGAATCCTTCTCCTGCATTGGTTCCAATTTATCCAGTTTGTTTCAAAGGGTAAAGATCCT